TCAAATAACTGTTTTTAAAACTAGAATTAATAGACATAAAGACCCATATTTACTTGCAGCTGGTCATATGGTGCCTTAGGATCTGACCCTGATATGACCCCACTCAACCAGAGCTAAACAGCAGAATTATTTTCTCTTAGAGTGGTGATTCTCCCAGATCAGTCAGTTTATCTTCTCTCTCCATGGGATTGAATTTGCAGCCACATTAGCACTGTAGCAACATAGCACTGTCCTCCCGTTGTTCATCGATCTGCCCTAGCGGGCCCAGTAACGTCTCCATTGTGAGACTTGTTGTTACTGTGTTTGGCATATCAAATACATCACAGGTAGCTTGCCAGGCTTTGCCGTGCGGATGAGATACTCTTGATAGCTTGCTGGGCTCTCTGAGAGTGGCGGTGGAATTGAACATGGGTCAGCTTGGTTGGCCGCGTGCAAGGCAAATGACCTACCTGCTGTGCTATCGCTCCAGCCCCAGTATAAACAATGTAGATGGTAAATTGTTGAGTTAATTATCATAAGCCAGTTAGAAAGTCAAGTTATAAAACCGGGAGGCAAGGGACAGGCCCAATGGCTCTCCCCCAAACCACCTGCATCGGGGTGGGCCCGGGGCTGCTCCCCCAGGCGGGGCAGCCCAGGTCATGGGGCAAACAGAAAGAAACGATCACCAAACCAGTTGGTTGATTTATTATTGCCGTTTATTCCATTCCCCCCGTGCGCCTGCCCCAGTCTCCTGAGCCTCCCATTCTCGTCTCCCACTGCTTCTCATTCCCATCTCCTCCTGTCTCTCCTGCTTATCTCTTCATGCTTCATCTCACAGCATGGACTCTCTAGCTCCATGTGCCTGCTCCTCTTTCTTCTACATTCTTCTCCCTCTGCCCGCCTTGTTAGTCTCTGGGCACTCCATCTTGCCGCCTTGCTCTCTCTCTCCTCTCTCCAACTCTCTTTTCTCTCCAACTCACCACACTGAGGTGACACTGCACCCAATCAGGTAGCAAAATCAACATAAGAAAGCCCTTCCTGACTGCCAGGTTCAAGAGCAGAAATATCACGTAGGGGTCCAAAGTCCTTCCTGATTGTCCAAGGACAAAATACCTCCTAAGGTGATTTTCTCCTTTCCTCAGCCAATAACTCTATCAACATCTTAATATTAGTTATTTTTGTATGGACACAGTAAGAGATACATTGAGGCTTGTAGGGCAGCTCTCCTGGGAACATCTTGCCATAGACTTACACTACAGAGCTCAGGCCAGACTAATCTTTCCTAACCCTAGCAGGGTCCGAATCTAGTTATTGCTTTTTGGATCATGACAGCATTTGTCCATGACCAAGCTCTTAACTTATAGTTAAGCATTAGGCACTTTCGCCAGGCCTATCTCAATCCCAGGGTGGCACATAGCTTACCCTGGTTCCATCCAGTCCCTCATCAGGACCCTGCTTTTGGGGGCCCTAGGAAGTAAGGGCATCTGAGGCTTAGGTCAAGAGAACAGGAGGAAAATATCACTGAGACTTCATCTTTCCTAACAGCTGCATAGCATTCCATTGTGCAGATGTGCCAACGTTTCTTTAACCAGTCATCTGTTCTAGGGCACTTGGGTTGTTTCCAGATTTTGGCTATTGTGAACAGTGCTGCAGTGAACATATAGGTACTGATTTCATTTCTACTGTGCTTTTTTGCATCCTTGGGATATATTCCCAGAAGTGGTATTACAGGGTCATATGGAAGCTCAATTTCTAGCTTTTGAAGGATCGTCCATATTGTTTCTCCAGAAAGGCTAGACTAGTGGGCATTCCCACCAACAGTGAAAGAGCATCCCTTCTCCCCCACAACTGGTCCAGCACTGGTTGCTTTTGTTCTTTTGAATGTGTGCCAGTCTCTGCAGTGTGAGATGATATCTCATTCTTGTTTTGATGTGTATCTCCCTGATGGCTATGAAATTTGCTTATAAATGGATAAACATGGAGAGTATCATGCTAAGTGAAACGAGTCAGAAAGAGAGGGACAGACATAGAAAGACCACACTCATTTGTGGAGTATAAAACAACACAACATGACGCTTACTCCTAAGGATAGTAGATACATGGGGCAGAAAGATTGCTCCATAGCTGGAAGCCTCCCTCATGAGCAAATGGGAGAAAGCAGCTGGAATACAGAAGGGATCACTAAGAAAATAATGACTTGAGGAACTGGTTGGGATGGGAGGTGTGTGTAGAAAGTAGATAAAGGACCAAACACAATAACCTCTCAGTGTCTGTATTGCAAACCATAATGCCGCAAAGTATAGAGAGAGTATGGGGAATATTGTCTGCCATGGAGGCAGGGGGAGGGTGGGAAAAGGGGGGTAGGGGGATATACTGGGAATATTGGTGGTGAGGAATGTGCACTGGTGGAGGGACAGGTGTTTGATCATTGTGTGATTGTAACCCAAACATGAAAGCTTGTAACCATCTCAGAGTGATTCAATAAAATTAAAAAAATATATATCACTGAGAGTCAATGAACTCCCAAGTTACAAAAGCATAGCATTTACTGTCTTGTGTCCATACAAAAAGGACATTGCTCTGAATAAACTATGCAAATGACTTAAGGAGAAGAGATTAAACAATATGTACAAGTCAACAGAGCACAAAAAAGTTTACAAATAAACACATAGGAATGGGAGTACTGTGATGGGAGCAACCCAATAAACCTAAACTACCTGAGACTATGCAGGAAGGACAAAACAATGTTATCCTACATATATAAGCATATATATTATATTCCTGAGCTATTCTGTATGGTACTTTTAGACTACATAGCAATTAACTTTTTCCTTTTATTAGAAATCTAGGAGGCTTTTTTTCTCTTTCAACCATTGCAAAAATGTATACTATGTGAAAGGATACATATATGTTTATTTAAATAATAGTTGAAATAACACCTATGCAGCACAGATGCTGAGGGGTTGGAGCTGAGCTTTCAGTCTACAAAAGGGATTATGGCAGATTATAAGTGAAGGCTAATAAAATATATCAGCAAGTATAACAAATCAGTGATAACACTAAGAGTATTAGAAAGTGAAATTAGGAAGGACTAGTGTTAGGTATAGAAGTCCATGAATAATGACCCAGAGTACAGAGCCAAAAGTAAGTCCTGGGGATGACTGGGTGTTCCTTGCCCCCTTGGAATAATGAAACAAAGGCAATACAAGGAAGGTGAATACAATAAAATTTGCTAAATAGAATCCCTCAAGAAAGAGATGAGAGAGTGGTTGGAAAGGAGGGGGGAGCTGGTAAGGAAGCAACCTGTAAAAGAAAAAGGTTTTCTAAGAAAGAGGTGAGTATTAAAAGTAATTGTAAAAATGTTCCCAACATAAAGTAACAAAATAGGAGACTAACACCCAAGAGTGGCTGAGATTAGTACCAGGAATTTTGCTCCATGGCTTGGAGGCCAGCCACACATGCTAGGGGAAAAGATAGCTCAGAGAGAGAAAGGAGCACCAAATAAAGGGTGTTGGGAGTACCCTCCCAGGATGGGAGAAGCATGCTGAAAGTAGACTATAGACTGAACATGATTGCCACTCAATGCCTCTTTTGCAAACTACAGTACCCAAAAGGAGAGAGAGAACAAAAGGGAATGCCCTGCCAAAGAGGCAGGGTGGGATGGGGAAATGGGGAGTGGGAGGGATACTGGGACCTGTGGTGGTGGAAAATGGGCACTGGTGGAGGGATGGGTACTTGATCATTGTATAACTGAAACCCAGGTACAAAAATCTGTAAGTCTGCAACGGTACCTCATGGTGTCTCACTAATAAAAATTTTTTAAAAAAATGTTCCCATAGTACTTTTTACACAGTGTTGTGTAAACGGATATACCTCAGACACTTCAGAATAAATGTCCAGTATGTTTAGTTTAAAGGATAAAGTTATACTATAGTATAAAGTCTTGGAAAGTTTGGGGAGAAAGTAGATAAGATACTGTTTTTATTTATTTTGGGAAAAGGAGATGCACCCAGTATTTTCAGGGCTTACTCCTGGCTGTAGACTCAGAAATCACTCCTGGCAAGCTCAGGGATAGCAGGGATCTAACCCAGCTCATCTGCCTTCAAGGTAAATGTTATACCACTGTGCTATTACTCTGCCCCTATACTATTTTGCTTTAGAGGCATGATGGCTCTCAACTCTTGTAGGGGATACATTTTAGAGAAGTTTTTGGGTAGAAATAGAGTTAATACTGCAACATTTTTTACATTTTAAAATAAAAATTAATTCCTATTATCTTCCTTAGTAAACTGCTCTTTTTTGTTAGGATTATTTATTCCGGGAAAATGCTTCCAATTCTGAAGACATATGTGAAATATTAATATAAGTCAAAGCAGAGTCTTTGAAAATCTGCACAATCCTAGTTTTGGAACTTAGATCCAAAGGGGCTGTTAAACATCTTCTATATTTGTAGCATCTACCCCACCCTGCCCCCATCCGTATTCTGAGGCCAAGAACTTGTTTACCACCTGGAGAACAGTGCTGGCATTAATAGCTGAGATTTCTTTTCAAAATCCAAGGCTTTACAATGGAATGGTTGATGATTCTTACCAAGATGGCTTTGTTTAGGCTTGTTGATGTGGTTACAGGATTGTCCATTTTCTAGCCTGGGCAAAAGGGAATGTTATTTACTCTTGAGTATTTTTTTTTCAGTTAATTAGAAAAGAAAGATGATGATTTTATTTCATAATAAAATCAAATTTGCAAAGACCTGCTTACTGGTAACTTGATAACCCTGTTTAACTGTGTAGGCCACTGGAGTTCTTAGAGTAGGTTTGTTATGGAACAATTAGCCAGGGAACTTGAGCTCAGATTCCTCAGCAGAGGGCACCTTGCAATGAGAAATAATGTTCAGTCTTAGTTGTTACCATTTATAGGAGCTCTCATTTTCATTTAGGCTCTTACATTTTGCTGAATGAAGAAACTCTATGTTTCTATTATTTTCCATATTAATTCTCTAAACTTTTCTTGTGTGATTTTAGAGGCCAGAGCCCCCCGGTTGCTGAATTTAATTTACTCCTGAAAGCTCACACTCTGGAAACCTATGGAGTGGATCCTCACCCGTGCAAGGTTGGCATGTACTGATATTTTGCTCCAAGGACACAGAAGTAATGTGTGGGTCTGGCCTAACCCTCCTAACAGCCTTACCTATCACATCTGACTGAAAGGGACCAGATTGGCTATAGTCGCATGTTTGGACTATTGATTTTCTTTGGCGTTCTCAAATTTTGTGCTGATGACTATGTAGCAGCCACATTTTTCTAGGTACACATACATGGATACATTCATCAAGTGGGTAATTTTTTAAGCTGGACAGTATAAGATCCTAACAGATTTATTTAAAAGGTTGTTGCCAAAATGCAGTAACATTCAAAACATTCAAAAAAATGCATGCTTGTTATGCTCTATATTCAACTCCCAGCACAACATGACCCCCCAAAAACTGCTGGGTATGGCCCTGGCAGACCCTTTCTTAGGTGAAACCCGAATCGTGTATATGATAAACACATGAGCTACCACCCTAAATTGCTGAATCACAATCATTGGGGGTGAACTTGAGGAATCGACTGTTCTAATAGACCCACACCGTGATACTCTTGCACACACTTGCAAACATGAATGTTAAAAACAACAGTCTCCTTTCTTTATCTTAAACTGCCTCAAACAGACATTGCCATGAATCTCAAACTATGACATAAGCCCTTATGTCAGTCATGTTCCTAAAGATAAGTTTTTAAATCATACTAGAGTGTTTTTGCTTATGCAGACTGAACCAGCCTATTGAATGTGGTTCTGCCAACTAGCTAGTAGGAGCTCTGAGCTCAGCTGCTCATTTGAGACACCAGGGGACCTTCAAAACTTCCTACTTCCCAATTCATCAGCATGTGTGGGCTGGAACACAGGTTTCCCTGATGATTCCACTATGTAGCTCTGCTAGAGCCAACGGTCCTGATATGAATATCTTGCTCCACTCGCACAATTATTTTGTAATATTTGCCAGATGCCCCTTTCTTTATATAGATATAAATCAGATTTTTTCATTTAATTAGATTTTATCCACAAACTGAGCCTCTCTGTTTGTTTTACTTATTACTTGGAAACTGTCTTGATTTTGCTGTGTTGTTCCTTTGTTTTCACTTAACATCTTTAGCATGCTTAATTTTCCTGGTTGAAGCTAAATAAAGGTAGATATTTTTGGATATAATTTCCAGAAACCTTTGTAGGATTGCATCAAGGTGGACTATATGCTTGGGCTTTGGTTTTAGTGCTGTCTATGACCAAGATGAGTTTGTCCACATTACAGAGCAGGCCTGAGAACTCAGGTGACTTCAGAAGACACTGAAGAGTAGACAGTAGTTTGGGACTAATCTAAATTTTTCTAGGAGCTTCCTGGCACAATAGGTTTGTTCTTCAGAGGTAAAAGTTACTTGTTCCTGGACCTCACCCAGATATTTGAAGTTCTGTCTTTATAAGTTCTATCTCCAAACACTGTATAGAATTAGTCATTGGAAGTAACCTGAAATTAACCCCTTGTAAGAGGAGAACTCTTTGTCATATGATTTCTTTTTCTCAATCCTAATCAGTTGTTTTCTCTATATTTTTCAGGATTCAACAGGCACAACCACATTTTTAGGGTTTACTGCTGCAGGTTTTGTGGTTTTTCAGGGAAATAAGAGAATCCACTTGATAAAATGGTGAGTATTTCTTTGAAAACTAGCAGATTATTTTTCTTACTCTTGTTTTTCTTTCTTTGCCTTTGAATTTTTACTTTTAGAAAACATTGGTGTATCGAAAGTTATGGTGTTTCACTAATAAAAAAAAAACATGGTGTATGATGCTTAGTAGCCACTTTTTTGCCTTGTAAAGGGACTCATCATCTATAAATAAAACCCAGTTCAGGTTTTTTTGAGACTTGTAGCATGTCCTAAGCTCAGGATCCTCCAGAAAGAAAGGATCTGGGGTTTCCCTTAGGGTAACCTCTTCTCTGACTGGGGTAGGGGTGCCCACAAGTGAGCCAGAGGGGAGAAAAGTGCAAGTTACTTCAAGAAACTTAGGCTCTGCAATACTGCTTCTAGGATTATATCCCAGGGGTGCAAAAGAAAAAAAGCACAGTATAAATGACATCTGCACCTGTATGTTCATTGAAGCACTGTTCATAATAGCCAGAATTTGGAAACAACCCAAGTGCCTGAGAACAGATGACTAGTTAAAAGAAACTGGTGCATTTACACAATGGAATACTATGCAGCTGTTAGGAAAGATGGTGTTGTGAAATTTGCATAAGTGGATGGACATAGATGTTCCAGGGTGTTAGACTGGGAACAATGGGAGGGAATCTGGGGACACTGGCTGGGGGAATTTGGAACTGATAATGAGATTGGTACGAGGGCATTTTATGCCCAAATCTTGGTTATCAATAACTTCATAAGTCATGATTATTTAAATAACTCTTTAAGAATGAGAACCACATGGCAGGGTGGGACAAATGAAGACCTGGCTCCTTGTAGTGAGGCAGAGCATCATCTGTTTGAACATAGGATCTTGAGGAAGAATCAAGTCTAGGTTGTATCCATAAAGAAGTAGGAGGCATTATATGTGCGCAAAGTCATTAATTACAGTACTGTAAATCACAGAACTGCAATCAGTCAAAATATATTTAAAAGAAAATAAAAGGATGTTGGTGGGATGGACCAGGAAATCAGGCTTGTTTGTACCAGCAGTTTGATTGTTTCTCCTCTGATAGTCCTTGACACATTTTTCTATCATGTCACAGGAGGTGGTGGGCTAATTCTGTTTATCTGAGCCTTGTGTCTAAAGTTCTTGCTGATGGATCAGTGGCATCCTTAGCTCAGAGCTGGAAAAACTCTCTTGCACTTGTCTGTAACTCAGATTCATGGTTCAGTTGCATCAGGATTTTCTCCAGTACCTCTTTTATCAAGTCTTCCTATTTCTTAGGATTCTCCTCTGACACCTTCTTTCTTTCAAACTTTCCCCTACTGGATCAGCATCAGTTAACATACACCTCACTGTCACCGTTTGGTTTTTATATTTATTATTTTTTTATAAATATGTTTCTATAAGATCCCTTTGTTTCTCTAAATATTATCCTGATCTCCTTTAGCATCACCTTTTTTACTCATTTAATCAATACTGTATACTCCTATATCTGCTAACTTGTTCTCTCCTTCCAAAAGTGGTGTTCTAAGAACTCTTAGTTGCTTTAAAAAAAGTTTTGAAGTTCCCAAGTTTCAGTGAACTCAGCTGTAAATGGCCATCTGTGCTATTTGAGAGCCTCATAGGAAGGAAAGGAGATGGGAGAGAAACAAAATAAATAGAATATTTGACAGGTGTGATCTGTGAACGATGACATGGTACATATGTTTAATGTGGCATGGGGTCCAGTTTTCTTCATTGGCTGTTAAGAGTTTGAGAAGAAGTGTTGGGGTTGGAGCAATAGCACAGCGGGTAGGGTACTTGCCTTGCAGGCAACCAACTCAGGTTCGTTTCCCAGCATCCCATATGGTTCCCTGACTCCAACAGAAGTAATTCTTGAGTGCAGAGCCAGGAGTAACCCCTGTGCATCTCTTTGTGTGACCTCCTGCAAAAAAAAGTGTCAAAGCCAAACAACCTTTAGTCTATTCCAAAATAAGTTCTTTTGGGATTCCTGCTGACATTATGGGGAGAATGGATAATTTCAGTGCCCCTCCATTCTATCCTAACACTAAAAAGGCTTAAGGGTCCTAAAGGGGTTAGATCTTTGGGTTTTGAGTAGTTTGAGCTCTGGAAGAGTGCCATTAGAGCCAGTCATGTCTCAAGTGGATGTTAAGTACAAGTCTCTCCTCTTGGAGCTTTATTTTTTCTGGCTAGGTTGATGAGTTGAGATGGACATTTATAGGCCGTTTATGAGTTTACATTTTGGTGTTCCTGGTGTCGTGCTGGTGGTAGTCCTATCTTTCTCAGTCTTTACTACTCAGGTGTGTTATCGTCCTAGCCATATATAGGCTACTTCAATGCATTTTCTTCCTCATTCAAGTGTTTGTTTGTTTGTTTGTTCATTTGTTTTGAAAGACTTCCAGAGTTTTGTTACTCTGACAAATCTCCTCCTATGTTAAGACAGTGTAAATGTGGGGAGGTAAGTCAGGGCAGAGAGATAATACAGCAGGTAAGGCACCCGCTTGCCACAGGACAGACTCAGGTTGGATCGCTGGCACCTTCTGTGGTCCCCTGAGCTCTTCCAGGAATGATCCTTGAGTGCATATCCGGGGGTAAACCTTTAGTAATGCCAGGTATGTCTCCAAATCAAAACAATACAGTTGTAATTTGAGCTCACTCTTTCTCTAGCCCCAGGAAAATCTTGGGGGCATACTCATTGTCCTAGGAATTACATAAAAGAAATAAAAGTAAAACTCTCATTAAACATCTCACCAGTGAGTTTCTTTACTAGTCCTAGGTTCTACATTTCAGATTTTTCTCAGTTTAAGAATAAATATAATATCACTGTATTGACTAAATCTTAAGCATCTCAATATAATGGAAGATTTTTTTTTTTGCTTTTTGGGTCACACCCGGCTATGCTCAGGGGTTACTCCTGGCTCATGCACTCAGGAATTGCTCCTGGCGGTGCTCAGGGGACCATATGGGGTGCTGGGAATCGAACCTGTGCCGGTCACGTTGGCTGCGTGCAAGGCAAACGCCCTACCCGCTGTGCTATCGCTCCAGCCCCGGGATTTTTTAATAAAGAGAGAGAGTGGAAGTGAAAATTCTGTAGTGTGGTGTATTTGCTTCTTAGAGAAGCTATGAAATAGAAAAGGACAAAGTTTCTGAATCCATGGAATTTCAGTAACTGAACCTCAGAGAACCATCTACATTCTTCTTGCCTCACATGGTTGGCTGGCTAGTTAATATCATTTGGGTCCATAATAATTATGGGCTCCTAGAGCTTTTTGGAAGAAGGATCCTGTTTATCTGTTTAAAAAAGAAAACTGGAATAAATAATTCTGAGATTCCTGGAAAAACTCTCTCGGGAAGAAAATTGTGTATAATTCACTTGGGAGTTTTTCACTGCTCATTAGGTCTTCACCAATGATAAGATAATATCTTGTTTCATTGCAGTCTGCTTGGCATTTGTGAGTCAGCCAGATTCCTATGGGAAAGCCAGGGACCTTGGTGAGCTGCTACTTTTTTTTTTCCTCTCACCCAAAAAGATTTTCTTGTCTTAGGCTGGATGTCTGCAAATTGAAGTTTGAAGGAAAGACATTTTATGTGATTGGCACCCAGAAGGAGGTCAGATGCTACTTTTCTCAGTTCTTATTGTTGGATTTGCATGTGAATTTGTGTGTGTGATTCAAGAATAAAATGTGCCTCTACTGGTGTCATCCTTGAAGATCATGATAATGAAGTTAGTGCTAATAGAAATTTTATCTTGAAAGCATTTTAGACATTAATGTTAGATTTTCACATTCAAAAATGAAATAAGTGAAAAAAAGTTGACTGTATACTATGAGTAAAAAATGGATCAGAACGACTTGATATTCATAAAATGAAACTTCTTTCTATACATCCTTGATTTGCATACAGACTTATGAAACATGTGAAGAGTACCATCAACCAGTTCTGCTCAGAGTTTCATAATCATCCTTTAGGTACTAAGAATTTTTAAGGCATTACCTTCTATAGGTTAGCCTCACCAGAGAATACTCTGGGGATAAAGCCTTTACCGGAACTATTGTTTTTTTTCCATAATTTTATTTATTTATTTTCTTCTTATATTTATTTATTGAATCATTGTGGGAAAAGTTAAAAAGCTTTCAGGTTTAAGTCTCAGTCATACAATGATCAAACAACTTTCCCTTCATCAGTACTCACATTTCACCACCAAGAACCCCAATATACCCCTCCTCCCACCTTTCCCAATGCCTGTGAGGCAGACAGCACCATAACCCCTGGAACTATTGTTTTGTGTGGTGCTAGAGATCGTGTGATTGGGGCCAGGGCTTCACAACTGCAAGACAGGAACTCTGCTACTGATCCATGTTCCTTGCCCCCATAGAACTTTGAGACTCAGAAGGTGGTCTGGAAGTTTTTCCATTTCTTTTCTTTTTTCTTTTCTCTCTTTTTTTTTTAATGTAGGAGTACTGCTATTTATTTTTTAAATTTTTTTATGTTTTCCATTTCTTAACCCTAATTTTTATTTTAGTCACTAGTTATTCAAGAATGACAAATATGGTTTTGAACAAATTCAGATCTGATTATGAGATGGACAGGGCCTGGTAAGCTAAGAGTTGTCAGGAAGCTTTTTTATGAGAAATAGGGCCTTGGCAGATTCATGATGGCTATGAAGGGTGAGTCAGTATAGAATTGTATGTCAACCACATTTTTCACACTACAGTGATGCAGAAATTACTTCAAGTCTATTTGGTAGGAAGAAGGATACCTGAAAGAAAAACATGAATGACATAAACTGTGTTTAACATTCACTTTCTTTCTTTTTCTCTTATTAGAAAAAAGCCATATTGGCATTCCACACTTCGACACCAGCTGCCTGCAAACACCTTTGGAAATGTGGTGTAGAAAACCAAGCCTTTTATAAGTACGTGTCTTCCCTTTTTTTAGTCATGATGAATATAATTCAAGATGAATATAAATGTGGTTTTCTTTTTTTTCTTTAATTTTTTTATTGAAATCACCATGAGTTACACAGTTGCAAAGCTATTCATTACTAAGTCTAAGGCCTACGATGTTCCAACACCCATCTCTTCACATGTTCCAACACCCATCTCTTCACCAGTGCACATTTCCTGCTATTAATGTCCCCAAGTTCTCTCCTGCCCACCTCCTCCAGCTCCAAACCTATACCTTGCATCTAAGGCATATACTTTTCTTCATATGCATATACATATTATATTAATGGGCTGGAGCAATAGCACAGCGGGTGGGGCATTTGCCTTGCAAGCAACCAACATGGCCGACCTGAGTTCGATTCCTCTGCCCCTCTCGGAGTACCCAGCAAGCTACCAAGAGTATCTCACCCAGACAGCAAAGCCTGGCAAGCTACCCATGATGTGTTCGATATGCAAAGCACAGTAACAATTGTCACAGTGGAGACTTTACTGGGGCTGCTTGAGCAAATCGATGAACAGTGGGAGGACAGTGACAGTGACAGTGATTATATTAATGTATAATATGTATATAAAAGTATATTAAATGTGGCTTTCTAAGTATCCATGAAATCCTTTAAGTTTTTCAAAGAATGCATATTTAATTTAATATAGCTTTTTAATTATTTTTTAAATAATCTATATTCAAGATGAATATAGATGTGGCTTATTTGTTTAGTATGACTACTGCTACACCAAGAAAACCCTGAGCTCAGTGTTGGGTGTTTTACATGGAGTTGCTATGGGTTGTTTTTAGGTATTATTGTTCCTGGTATTTTTTAACTCTTTCTTGAGTATCATTACATTATATAAGTTTCAGGTATGCATCATTAAACGTAAAGATGTAGTCAATAGAATTAATTCACCACTAAAAATTAATTTCTGTCCTGTCCCATACCATTGATCCCCCTTTTCCCCAATTTACCTTCTCCTTCCCAAATCTTGTGTCTTCCTATAGTGACCATTAACTTAGTCTGATAGTGTAAAATCTTGGGTTAGTTTCCTTTAGTCAATTCAACTGTTTGGTTTCTCTGTCCACCACATAAAAGTTAAATATTATATGGTATTTTTCTTTCTCTGTCTGATGTCATTTCCTAAAGATGGTCTTCTCAAGTTTCATTCATGTTACCTAAATTTACCATTCAGTCGACTAAAATGACAGAATTTCTTTTTGGGTAGTATTATGTAGTGTGGATACACATAGACACTGTGTTCTTCATTCAATCATCTGTTGATAGGCTTTGCAGTTGCTGCTGCCGCTTGGCTGTTGTGAGTCATAGTGCTGCAATGATGAAAAATTGTGTTCGATCTTCTTTGGGTGTCCTAACAAAAATTTACTTTCAAGCAGTTGTTTAGTTCAAGTTATTTATTTGAGAAGTGGTCAGTGAATACACAATGAACATAGATCAGTTTGTAAGTGAGGTCAGGAAAAAATATAGGATACATGATTGAATAGGAAAATACTGTTAGTTCTTGGGTGCAGCACTGCTAAGGCTTCTGACAGACTCTAGAACATGACTCAAGATTCTCCCACTGACAGACCAAGAGGCTGAGCTATTTGTCTACTGACTTCTCCATTCATTTTGGTTGAGGGCCACTTTGGATAGTAGAGTTAATACTCTCCTGCATGTTTGGCTTGCTGTGAGCACAGGTTGACTGTACTCTCACAAACAGAAGAAACTTTTGGCAGTGAGTCACATGTGTTCATAGTAAGAAGCCTTCAGTACATAGAGATGGGTGCCAAAGGTTTGTGGGTAGAATGCTGTCACTCTAGGACTATAGATTACAGTGCTGGACAATTCTTCAGAAGCCATTTACACAGCTCGCAGATATTACAGGAAGCTCAAATTTAGAATCTTTCAACTATGTTCCAACCTCTCCTCTTTGAGATAACACTTACTGACTGGGAGAACAGTGGGGATGGATGGAGTCCAGAACTGGTTCAGAGGCAGAATGTTAATTCAGTGGGTAAAGCATTTACATTGCACATGGCTGACCCATGTTTGATCCCTGGCTTCCTAGTCCCACCAGGAATGCTCCCTGAACACAGAGCCAGAAATAAGCCCTGAGCACTACCAGATTTTTTTTTCATTTCATTTCATCATCCTGTTATTCGTCGATTGCCTCGAGCAGGTCCCAGTAACGTCTCTTTCATCCTAGCCCTGAGATTATATTCAAGGCTCTTTAGGAGAATGAGACCCATTATTGTTACTGGTATTTGGCATATTGGGTACGCCACGGGGAGTTTGCCAGACTCTGCCCTGTGGGCAGGCTACATTCGATAGCCTGCAAGTTTGTCCAAAGTAGGAATGAGATAATAAGATGTCATAAAAAGATGTCCTGATAAGACGTCGCACGGCCGCGAATGCACTACCAGATGTGGCCCCCAAAAAATGAAAAGAAAAGAACTCATTCAGTTCTGTTGCGGTATCAGTATAGCCCATTCTTGGGGCTCCGTCCTATACCTCTTCCCTTGTCAGCCCCCACAATCCCACCTACACACACAGAAATTCTCTCACTTATTCAAGTCCCCTCCCTGAACATCTCTGAACCTCCTGAACTTCAACTGACAAGGACAAATGAAGCTTTGATCCACAGCAGAATGAAGTAGTGGACACTGGTTTTCAAACACCTTTGTGTCATCACTGTCTTTTCCTGAAGTGAAAGAAAGTATAGGTTTCCTTCATGTGTTAGAGTATCTAAAACATAGAGAAGCTGTTGGCGATGACACTTGTGACTGGGAACTGGAAACCCTTCAGCCATTGCTTCTACTTCTCAGTACCTTAGGCGCTCAGTTGTCCTAGTGTTCCTATGCGTTTTCCAGGTCCTGTAAGGGGCCTAAGTCCCAGAAACCCTCTCTGTGGCAGACCACAGCTAATCCCTAGCTCTGCACTCAGGGGATAATATCCATTTCTGGGGATTGAACCCTAATAATCCTTACCTAAGCACCATCTCTCTGGTCTTATGTGGCTTTCTATTTCTCCTAAGACAAACACCATAATCTTAAACTCAGATACACTAGTTTTGGGCTTGGTGCTGGTATTATATGCATGAGAAGCTATTAACAGAATCTCAATCAATTAAAAACTTTATTAAAAATAAAACCTATACGCAGGAACTGAGGGTAGCTTAAGTCAGATCCTTTCAAAATAGGAACAATTCTTATGTGTGTGTGTATCTGTGTGTGTGTGTCTGTGTGTGTGTGGAGTAAGATGCTAGTAATAGTGATAGATACAGTGGTTTATAAGATCTTTAGTTCTTCATACTCATGTTCATACTTTATTCTCATGGCTTTTGTACTTGCTCGACCTTCTACCACTGCCTTCAATCCTTTTCCCTCCTGCATCTGAGCACAGACACCCTCTTCCTCATGGCAACTTGTGATTCACATGCATTCATTGTTAGAATGGCTTCTTGGACTCTATGTCCATTGCCCCTCTCTCTCTCTCTCTCTCTCTCTCTCTCTCTCTCTCTCTCCATAAGTGCAGAGACTGTGCTTCATCCCCGGGTCAGTGTGGTAGAGAGCAGACTGGGCATTTGGATAATACTTCTGAGCTTGTTAAAGGGAGATTCAGGAGACTCAAGGGGTGGTGATCACAGTGTCATAGCTGGGGTTATGTGGATGACTTGCTGGGAGTTCTTTAGTGTATTTTGTTCTGGGGGGCGGCGAGGGAGGGTGTCTGTTGTTTGATTGTTTTTTAGACAAAGGGCATTGGGCTACATCCTGCTGTGCCCAGGACTTACTGCTGGCTCTGTGCTCAGGGATCACTCTTGATGGGCCTCAAGGGACCAGATGCTATTCTGGGGATCAACCTCAGGTTGGCCATGTGCAAGGCAAGAACCTTCCCCACTCTACCATCTCTCTTCTCCTCTGTGTGTTTTTAAAGTTAAGATTTTGTGAATATCAACACTTTATGTGGTTCTGAATTCCTGGAGGCTCTTCTTTCTAATCTGTTGAGTTTAACTGCATAAACGTCTAGTGACAGAGTAGATGCGTCTTCACTTCTCTCAAGAGCAACACCTGTGTGAGATTCTGGCTTATATTCTCCTCTGCACTTCTTAATGCTATTTTGCTCTTATGTGTATGGCTCAGATGTGCTGAGTCAGTTCTTGGCTGGGCTTCCTGTTCTTTGTGTATCTTTGTCATCTACCTGTGAGGGTTTTTGGATGATAGTAGCTTAACTGGAGAAACCCAGACTTTAGTCACCATTTCCACAGCAGTGTGGGCCCCCGATTCACCCCAGGGGTGTGCACAGTAAGTGGATTCTTTGTGATAAGCTGAGCAGCCTACTTTGTACAGTAATGGCTTTATCCTGTGTTGTTAGTTATAGACACAGACAAGAGACTAGAAACATTAAATGACAAGGTTCAATAAACCTCCTGTGACAAGGAACTTAATGATGTCTTATGCTATAGCCTTCCTTCTTATTTTTCAGGTCAAAATTGGGAAAGAATTGTTTCTGCTATCAATATGATCTTTCCTTTTATGTAATTTGTGATCCAGTAACAGATTATGAAACCAAATATTATTAGTATTTAAAAAGAAAAGAATCAAAATGCATAGAAAGACCAGATTTTAATGCGTCACTGTCACTGTCACTGTCCTCCCATTGTTCATCGATTTGCTTGAGCGGGTTCAATAATATTGTGAGACTTTTTACTGTGTTTGGCATATCGAATATGTCACAGTTAGCTTGCCAGGCTTTGCCATGTGGGCAAGATATTCTCGGTAGCTTGCTGGACTCTCCGAGAGGGGCAGAGCAATTGAACTCAAGTTGTCCATGTAGGCTGCTTGCAAGGTAAACACCCTACCTGCTGTGCTATCGCTCCAGCCCATCATTTTAATGTCTAGAGTAAAAAATTTCATTTTGTGAAATATTTTTGGCAGGAAAATGTGTGTGTGTGTACATGCGCATGCATGCATGCATGCTCCTCTTTGTGCATACGTATGTGTGTGTATGTGTGGCAAGTCATACAATGAAATAAATTTTGTTCTGACAGCCAAATCTATCTGACTGCCATACTCTACAGCATGACCTGTTTGGACTGTAAGCCATCACAACCATCTCTGTTTCATTTTTTCTTAAAGGTATGCAAAATCCAGTCAGATCAAGACTGTGTCCAGCAGCAAGATATTTTTTAAAGGAAGTAGATTTCGATATAGGTGGGTAACATTTGGCTCCAATTAGATAAGGGTCTTGGGGATTCAGCTTAATGCTCAATTATTTATATATAAATGTTTTTAGTCAGTGTCCTATGTCCTTTGCCTCTGGTTTGGTCTTTCCTTCCTACATAGCACTTCTCTAATGTTCTTGAAGCCCTTATATTCTTTTGGGGGGGGGATAGGGGAGTTTTTTTGGGGGGAAGGTGTCCTACCTAGTAATGTTTGGTAGTTATTCCTGACTCTGCACTCAGGAATTACTCCTGCTAGTGCTTGGGGGACCATATGGGATGCCATGGATTGAATCCAGGTTGGCCACATGCCAGGCAAGTGCCCTACCTGTTGTACTCTCTCTCTCTAGTAGATAACTCTTTTTATTCAGCATTTAATTTACATCACAGAGAAATAAGCATGGATTCTTTAGGACAGGTCGGGTCATTGTGAACTTAAAAAGAGGGCATGTCCCCTGCACTTCTACCATGAGAGTGTGCACAGATGTTGTATTTCTGTCTTTTCAGTGGTAAAGTGGCCAAAGAGGTGGTAGAGGCAAGCTCCAAAATCCAGAGGGAGCCACCTGAGGTACACAGGTGAGTAGCATGCTCCTTGGGGTTCTGGGGAACTTCTGGGGTGGACAGAGGGATTTTAAGTCTCATTTTGCTAAATCTTCTCTAATATTACCACTAATGGTTCCAGCACAACACCTTCAGCTTCTTGGAACTCTCAGGTCACTTTGACATGACAATAGCATGACCACAGAGAGACTCCATTTTACGAGTTTACTCTGGAGATTCATTGGCTCAAATTGATCTTGAGCACCAGAGGCATGAACAGCATGGCTGGGAAGCATGACTGACTGGGCTCTGCTGTCTCCTGGTCACTGTGTCATTTGTCCGTTTAGAGCTGCTCTCTTTGCTTGCCTCTGTTCATCAGCTGTGACTAGTTCCTACTGACCCAACTCCCAGGCTATTTTACATGAAGAACTGGGACGCTGATCTCTCATTGGACTCTATTACCTCTCTGAGGAATGAAGCACTAGGTAGATCATTAGTGCTTCAAGGATGTCTTTTTCATTTAAGTTGAAATATATGTAAGTCTTGGGAATTAAATATTTTGTGGATCAGGTTGTATACCATAGCACTATAATTTTTATCAGCGCTGGGGAACCTTTCTTCTGCCAAAGACCATTTGGTTATTTATAACATTATTAGTGGGCTCTACAGTACAGGAAAATGGACCATGTCTGTCCCAGGATGCACCAGGGCTTAATCACATGATTTTGAGGGGCTTTATATGTCCCAGACTGAATATTCCCAAAATTTGATTTACAGGAGTCATTGTGCATCTTAAATCTCAACCATGCTTCATATCTGAAGCTAAATACTTCCTGTTTTGAGGGAAATACCATCAGAGGCCCCAGTGCTTCGGAAATTCTCACACACTGCTTAGCACTTGTAACTTGTCCTTCTTTCATATCTTTGAACTTAGAGAAGTCTCCCTTACGCCTGTATTTGCCTAGTCTCCCTGGTTTCTCGGGAAATAATGATCGGGGTGCCTCTCCACCTATCCTTTGGTATTGCCAAGCATTTAGTATGAGCTCCATCCAGAAGTTTACCGTGAACATTCCACCCCATTCTTGGTGCAAGTCTGTGAAACCAGGTTCTTCTGCTTATAGAAACCTACTGAACAAGTGAAGCTGGAACACCTCTGGCAATCCCCATGGAAGTCTTAAAGCTTCCCTGTAAATGATAAAATAATTTCTTCCCTTAATTTCTTCTCTGTACATTTAACTCTTGAGTCCATGTACTCATAACTCTCTTTCACTCAGTCCTTTAGCACCATCTCTCAGATTCCAGATAATATAAGGAGGGTTTTGTTCAGAGTAATAATACCAAGTCGACTCTGAGCGGGCCAGGTCTGTGACACTGTGGACTCTTACAGACACAGTGCTCAGCACTTAGGAGGAGATCAGTGCATATTTGTTGACTGCTTGTCTTAGAAGTAAATATGCCATCAACACTCTCTTTTCCTGAGGCCTGAGATCTGTCTGAGATGCTGCCCCGAGGCCCTGGACCTCCTAAGAGGCAGTAGTTGGTGTAGCCTGGCCACTCTCAGAAGCAACTTCTTGTTCCTATAGTGTAGCCAGCTGCACTGTGGAAAGCTATTTATCCTGAGTGTTTTATTTTTGAGTGATTTTAGCATCTTTGCTGCGGTTGTCTAAAGTGGGAGTAGAGTAATGAGGCTTTCCCTGGCCGTGTTTGGGTTGAGTACTAGTCTAAACTGGTGAAGATAAGGCTTCCATTCACTATCTTTCCTCACACTTCAGAGTTTGTTCTCAAAAGAATGTTAGCCCACCTCTACTAAGATGTGCAGATAGAAGATGTGGATAGACTAGAACAGTATCTTGAGATTATTCTTTAAAGAAAAAAGTATCAGGATATGATTCAGTGCACTGTAGTGAGCCCTTCCCCACAAGGAAGCTCACTCATATTATCTCACTGATCTTTGCCAATGATATGATCCCCAGTTAAAACTCACCAGGGTGGGCCAGAGAGAGTCACTGGCCCAGCTGAATGAACATAGGGCTGTCTCTGCGAGCCACCTGGACATTGCAGTCCCCATAGAGAGTCACTGAGAGGCAGCATTTGTACCTGAAAAGAGCAGCTATCTAGGAATCAGGAATTGACTCTTACCTTTGCTGTGGTTCTTACTAGCTCTGGTATTGCATAAGTCAGGCAGGTCCTCTGACCAGCGGTTTAGAAAATGCAATTCATAATACCACGTTCTGTGATTTGACTTATGATTTTTCACTTCACCTGGTATGAATTCACTTCACATGGCTATGCATTTGGTAGAACCAAAGACTTCGAATCTTTTGGTTTTTTACTTCATTAGCAATACAGGTTGTGATACTCCCTTATGAAGCTGGGCAGCACCATCAAGTCATAGCTCCCAGAAGCACAGTGTGATTCAATCAATTGCAAGGGATAGTCTACACTTTATTATAAGAAATCTATTAAATGATTGGGGACCAGAGCATATAGTATAGCAGATAGGGTGTTTGCCTTTGCATGAAAGCAACCCAGGTTTGATCCCCAGTACCATATGACCTCTAATCCTGCCAGAAGCAAGCCCTGGGCACTGCCAGGTGTGACCACCCTTCCTCCCTCCAACCAAAGAAAAAGAAGAACATTAGCTGATTTTACCCAACTGTAGCACATTTGAAATAAGCTAGGCTGAGCTTTGATGTTAGGTATGGTAAGTGCATTAAATCTACTTTAGACATAAATATTTTCCACTTATAATGTGTTTATCAGCACATAAGCCAATTGTAAGTTAAAGAAGATCTATATTGCTCTACACAACTATGGGGTTTTATTGTGAGGATTAAAATAAAATGCTTTACAATGCTCAAAAGGAGAGAGAGGGAAGAAAAGCACCTGCCATAAAGGCAGGCAGGGATTGGAGGGAGTTGTGGGTAGGAGTGATGGGAGAGAACCTGGGGACACTGGTGCTGGGAAATGTACTAGTGGAGGGATGGGTGTTAGAATACTGTATGACTGAAATCCAACCATGAACTGCTTTGTAAGGGTCTGTCTCACAGTGATTCAATAAAAAAGTTAAAAAATAAAATAAAGTTCTTTAAAAGTAATAAAATGGGCCTGGAGAGTACAGCGAGTAAGACCCTTGCTGTCTACATAGCTGGTTCAGATTTGATCACTCACACCACATATGAGTCTCCAAGAACAACCACGAGTGATCCCTGAGTGGATTCAGGAGTAAACTCAGTGCTGGGTGTGCCCATTATCACTCCTCCCGCCTCCTCCTCAAAATAAAAAGATAACAATGCTTTGTAAATGGGGCTCTAGCAATAGCACAGCCGGTAGGGCGTTTGCCTTGCATGCAGCGGACCTGGGTTAGATTCCCAGCATTCCATATGGTCTCCTGAGGACCTCCAGGAGTAATTCCTGAGTGAATGAGCCAGGATTAGCCCCTGTGCATTGCTGTGTGTGACTAAACACCCCTCCCCAAAAATACCCTATAAATGTAGGTGGTTCTATTGTTATAATAATCTCATTAACATATAAACATGGGAAGCTAGAATCTGTAGGCATGCTTATAGTGTCTTCCTATAGAATGTTTGGTAATAGACCAGCTGCACTTCCTTCCACTCCATAGGGTTGTACAGGAATTTACAAGTCTCATTTAGTTACTCTATTTATGCCTTTGCTTTTGCCACTGGGGTTAGAATATACTTGCAATTTCCAAAGGAAACCTTTTACCTCAATGCAGTTCTTTGGTTTGTTGTTTATTTTTGTTTTGGTTTGGGTTTTTGCTTTGGAACAACATCTGGTAGAGCTCAGTGCTCAAGGATCGCTCCTGGAGGACTCAGGGCTAATATGGGATAAAGGCAAACACCCTACTTCCAGTACAATCACTCCAGCCCCTGAGTGCAGTTCTTAAAGAAAATATCATTAGGAAATTGCTTTATGCAGGAGCACACACATGAATGGTCTGCACAGCTGGTTAAAATCTAGGTTTTACTGGCTTTCGTTATAAATGTTACACGATCAGATGACTGGTAAGCAGGCATAACCATGCACGCAAAGACAAGGGCATTTAATGCCTAAGGCAGATCCCTGGCCCTTTCCCCCAGGAACTGGGAGCTATTGGGCTCACATCCTGGTATAAACTAGGGTTCCAGATGATGTTTTTAGTTACATCTGCTTTACTACAGATGCTGTTTTCATGTTTCATTCGAACATACATTCACTCATTTCTTAGGCATGAAGCTAAGGGCTATGTTTGTGCCCTTCAGAGCTAGAGTCATATTCTCATTTTGTAGGCCTTGAGACCAAGGTATGCATTTACTCACTCTTGCAGCTAGAAGTAAAGTTGCTTTAATGTCATTTTTATCTGGGTTTTTGGGCCACACCCAGCTGTGCTCAGGACTTACTTCTGGCTTTGAACTCAGGGATCTCTCCTGGTGTGGGTTGTGAGACCGTCTGGTATCAAGGCTCAAACTAGAGGCAACCACATGCATGGCAAGTGCCATATCTGCTGTACTATTTCTCTGGCCCCTACTCACTTTAATCTTTAACTGTGAATTTTCATATCTTGTGTTCAATACCTGGTAGATTCTGGTAAATTTTTGCTCTTTTGCCAGCTGATAAGTGGATTCTGAGACTGGATAAATCTAGCAAATACCCTCAGTTGGTCACAAGAGATGTCAGTCCTGGAGGCAGTTGGTCCAGAAACTCAAATGGAGGGCCTGGGAGGGAGCTGTCTAGAAAACTGTCTGATACAGTTGTACATGGGATAGCCCCAAACAGTTGATAATTTAGGCAGTGAACTGAACCTCCTCTGGGTAGCAAAGGTGGTGTGCAGTATAAACCAGGCAAAACACTCTGTAGGGGCCAACAAAAGACTGGGCTGGAAATCAGGTGGTCCTGAATCTGCAACTTCACCGAGTCTCAGCTTTCTCCTCTGTAAATATGGCAGTTCTTGCCTATTATATGCCCATTTTGAGAGAAACAAAGGAATTACAGTGTATACAAACCATTGATAAAGTTTTTAAAATGCTATGAAAGGGTATTTGGTAAGATATTTTAAGTTTTGGTTTTTGTTTTGTTTTTACCGGACTGTTTTAGATAAATTCTTTTATCTTACTAAGGACTTACCCAAGGATAAAATCTGTAAATTTGCATACTCTAATTATTAACTTTAAATTTAGAATCAATTTATAAGTTTTTCATTCTATTTTTTTCTGGTTTCTGAAAGGTTAATGCTATTTTCCTTGGCTGAGAATTTGAAATTATAACTGACGACAGTATGGCCTTGACTTTATAAATAGAAAAAAAAATTGCAGGGACATCAGTTGTCCAAATTGCAGTGTTACAGCAAAGAATAACCTTAAATACATACCATCTTCACTAATAGAGTCCTACAAGTATTTCTAAATATTAAGACTTGAAATTCAAACTTTTACAGCCAAATGTTTAGGATCTGATAGCTGAACATCTAAATGGACAAAATAAACAAATACAGAAACTACTGTTCTTGTGCCATCACGGAAATTTGTAGTGGCTGTTCCGCATGTGAGCCTGAGTGATAGCACAGCGGGTAGGTCATTTGCCTTGCACGCCACCGACCCGGGTTCAATTCCTCCATCCCTCTTGGAGAGCCCAGCAAGCTACCGAGAGTATCCCACCCACAAGGCAGAGCTGGGCATTCTCCCCATGATGTACTCAATATGCCAAAAACAGTAACAAGTCTCACATTGGAGACATTACTGGTGCCTGCTCAAGCAAATCGATGAACAATGGGAGGACAGTGCTACAGTACTATTATTTTATTATATTTATGTTTGTGAACATAATATGTTTGTGTTAGTGGACTCTTGCTTTGAATGAAGCCTGCGTTCATTTGATTGTCTCTTTTTTAAAGTGGTAAGGAAAAGGCAGTAGAGGTTTTACCACTACATAATTCTTTACCAATTGTGGGTCTAAAAATTGGTAAAGGAAGGAGGGGCAATTACATTTCGATCCTAGTTTTGCTGTGTATTCCACTAGTGCTATCTTGGTGCCTGAGATCAGGGCCTGGGGTCCTCGAATTTTTGTGCTCCAGCAAAACCCCCAGTTGCATCCTCCTTTAGAATTCTGAATCTTGAACAAATGAGGGAAGAAATATTTATCTCTGAATCATGAAGTTGAAGAATCTAAGGGCTTCAGTCTGTCAAAGGGGTCATTTTGGGGGCAGATGGCACTAGTGTCTGAACCATTGTGTCTCTTATCTCATGAGCCAGACACAGGCCCTGGTTATAGCCTAGCAAGAGGAATTGTGAGTATAGGCAAGAGTCAGTGTCTTTCTGACCATCTGATGACAATCATGTAATCTCACTTGTCCTATCAACAGACAGTGGTCCGGTCAGTATAATGTTACAAGCGAGGGAGGTAGACGGCAGGATATTTATTCTCTCCAACTGAAGTGGTGAGATTGCTGATGGAGAACAAAAGATCATCAATGAATGCATTTTCAAGGGCCTTCCTTGTTGTAGTGATGCAGGGAACTCTGGGGCTAGAACATGTATGTAGGCAACTCAACTGGTGTCTTGGATTGAACCTGGCTCGGCTGTGTGCAAGGCAAATGCCCTCCCTCTGTAATGTCACTCTGGTTCTGATCCCATCTTTTAGGGATATGTTGGTTTTGGTTTTGACTAGAAAGAAGGAAGAGAAGGTTATCCAAACACCCAACAACAGTGCCCCACCTCTCTATTATGTCAGAGCAGATGGCTGGTGGCCCTGCAGCACACAGTACAGGTGGGTTCTCCATTAAAGAGTCAAAGTCTTGCTGAGTCACCCACATAGTTCCCTTGAGGTTTGCCATCAGTCACATCTACTGGCACATATCTGTTATCCCCCCCTTTTTGCAGGGGTGCACATCTAACTGTGCTCAGGCTCAGGCTCTGTGCTCAGGGATCACTCCTAGTGGGCTCAGGAACCGTATGTGTTGCTGGAAATTGAAGCAGTGTCAGCCACATGCAAGGCAGGCACCCTACCCACTGGACTATCTTTAGGCCTTTATCCTCCTTTTTATTTATTTAATTAATAAAATAATAATAATAATAATAATCTACTTTTTTCCCCTTCTTATATTTATTTATTGAATCACTGTGGGAAAAGTTTCAAAGCTTTCAGGTTTAAGTCTCGGTCATATAATGATCAAACACCTTTCCCTTCACCAGTACTCATTTTTCACCACCAAGAACCCCAATATTACCCCCTCCCACCTCTCCCAGTGCCTGTGAGGCAGATGATTTCGACTTAACTATTCTCTACACGGATTACATTTATTATTTTGACAAAAGACGCACCATTATTATTTAGAATTTCCCCCAACAATTAGAATTGCTGAAAAGGCATTGTGAAATACTTTGTTTTCTATAGCTGGTTATGAGAATCATATAATGTCTATTATATGGCTTTCATGGCCACGCAATTTTGGATTTCTACAAAGAGCCAGATAATTACAAGATTGTTTTTTGTGCGTCTGGTGTTATGGCCATGCCGGAGAGCTCGGCGGGGGGGCGGGAGGGGAGCAACTCATGACCTCAGTAGGGCGTGAAGGATGAGCCACTATCGCCCCCCTTCCCTTGAGATGCAGTTGCCCCATCACCGCTGGTTCATACCTGGCTTTCCAATAAGCTCTGAGGCCATAGCCACCTTGCTGCGGGGGGGGCGGGGGGGGGGGCAGAAGGGAGCAACACCCTTTCCCTCCCAGGGAGGCATGGCACTGTAGTTAAACGCATGGACCATTCACTTTTCTGCCACAAGCTGCCAGGCTCTGGACTAAGTCCTTTTGCCTCTGGAGCCATGGCCGTGCCAGAGAGCCATTCGTCGGGGGCAACTCGTGATCTCGGTAGCACATGAAGGACAAGCCGGTACTGCGCCCCTTCCCATGAGACTGCAGTTGCCCAGTCACCGCTGGCTCATACCTGTCTTTCCAGTAAGCTCTGAGGTGGCGGCCACCTTGCTGCTGGGGGCTGGGGGGTGGGGGAGGAAGGCGGAAGGGACCAACACCCTTTCCCTCCCGGGGAGGCATGGTGCCATAGTTTAACGCATAGTCCATTCACTTTTCTGCTGCAAGGTGCCGGGCTCTGGATTAAGTCCTTTTGCCTCTGGAGCCATGGTTGTGCTGGAGAGCTGCTTGTGGGGGGGCAACTTGTGACCTCGGTAGGGTGTGAAGGACAAAGCAGTACCGCCTCCCTTTCCATGAGACTGCAGTTGCCCCATCACCGCCAGCTCATACCTGGCTTTCCAATAAGCTCTGAGGCAGCGGTCACCTTGTATGTAGTCCAAATACATTTCTGCCAAAAGCCACTAGGTTTAGAGATTTTTTTTTCTGAATCTCTGGGATCATGGCCATTAATCAGCTTGATCAGGAGCCAGAGAGGCCATTTGTAGGCGGTGACTCAGGGTCTCCCTGGGGTGGGGAGGAAAGGGCTGGTTCCACCCCCATCTGGTGAGGCCCCGTGTGTCTCATCACTGCAGGCCCAAACCTGACTGTCCAGTGGTCTCTGGAGGATGGCGGTCACCAGGCCGCCAGGGGGAACAGGCCAAGGCACGAAACCCATTCCCACCTGGAGTGGCCCAGCCCCAGTAACCTACTGCAGGAACAGGATGCATTTCTGCCAAAAGCCTTTGGGTTCCGAGATTTGTTTCTGAGTCTCTGGAATCACGGCCATTAAGCAGTTCAATGAGGAACCAGAGAGGCCATGCCTCCAATTACATAGCTGAGCCTGAAGTGGTTTGTGGGTGTGTCTCTCACAAACCTAACTTTTGGACCTTTACTTTCTTGGTAAACTTTGCCCCAAGTTTTTGTGGTCTGGTCAAAGGCACAGCAGCAATTTTGGGGTATCTGAAATTCTGACAGTGCCACCAGGCTGCTGATGCACTTGCCTGACAGGTAGAGATTGACCTGCTGGCGGCACCATACCCCCTAATCTACTTTCTTTTTAAAGGAGAAAGTAGAACTAGGTCCCATGACTAATTATGAGCAGGTTGTGAATATTAATTATTAGTATTGAAGACTGGACATCCAGCAATACCAACATAGTTCTTACCAGTAGGACACCTTTTGCCTGGCAGGACTTTTTTGTTTTTATTTTCTTGGCAGTCATTAAATTATCCTGAGTCATGGCTCTTACTCACTTTTTGCCTTTCTAATTCAGTGATACCTGTCTCTAATATCTTTTTCGCTCCCCATATCTTTTTCAAATGCCTCTCTTTTCAGTTCGCATGCCCAAGTCTAATAACGTATGGGAAAATACATTTTCTTTCCCTTGGTAGCATTTGAGCACATGTCTATTTTGATAGAATCTTAAGGATCGAAAAAATTTGTGTGGCCTGAGTGATAAATATGGTTGGTAAGACATTTGCTTTGCACGTGGCCAACTTGGGTTCAATCCACATGACCCCCTGAGCACTGTCTGGTGTGGCCTCAAAACAAACACAAAAGACTGTATCTTGAGTGTTGTGTTATCTTTACTACTACCCGGATTTATTGTGTGCCTAAAGGCAATTCCTTGCTCAGGCAGCCAAGTAAGAAGAAGGGTTCTTACTTAGAATGGAAACCAACTCTTCTTGTCTTGTATCTGTTTTCAGAGCCAGCATCACTCAGAGCCGTAGTTCCCATTCCTTGAATAAACAGCTCATCATTAACATGGAGCCCCTGCAGCCGCTGCTGCCTTCTCCCAAGGAGCAGGAAGAGGACATGTCTTTGAGAGAGGGTGAGTCCATTTCTACCCAGGGGCGGCCTTTGTCCCAATGATGCTCATCTTGAGTAAAGGGTGGGCTGGGGATTTCAGATTTGTCTTGAGTAAATAAACTATTTGCAGCTGAAAGCTGGCTTTAATTTGGGAATTTTAATCAATATCTCTTGGAGAGAGTTCACTGATAGAGTATTCCTAAAATCACATGTTCCAGTAGTAAAGGTGTTAGAAGGCCAGTGTTCAATATGGGAATTTCTGGACCTATGTAGCTACTCATAGTGATGTTTATGTTTGTTAAAATTAAAAATTCAGTTCCTTAGTTACAGTAACTATTTTTCCAGAGCTAAATTGTCACATGTGGCTAATGCCAGCATGTTAAACAACGCAGCCCAGGAATATTTTCATCATCACAGGATGTTCTATTGGATGGTTGAGTTTCATTTGAAAAAAAAATAGTAATTAAATTAGTGGTTATAAAGAATTCTCCACAAACATGGTTATGCTAGTTTTCTCCTTTGGCCTCATTTTTTCTTCATCCTTATATTTCACAGATCCTTGTCTGATAATTTTGATATATAAGGTTTCCTTTCACAGAAAAATTATTTTTGTGTATGATATAATATATGTGCTACTGGGCCTGGGTATTTTGTCAGCTAAAGGAATCTTACTTTAGGGATGACCCACATTACAGATATCTGGTGATGCAAATCTCATACTCTTTAATTTCAAAGTAAGCTTTATAAAAGTCTTACAAAATAAAGTCATTAGATATAGCCTGCTTTCCCTTAACATTTTTCTTACATGTATGGTTTACTATTCCTTGGCTTTATAGGTTTTAATCTCATAATTTAAAATATAAATATGGGGCAACTTATTGTGTTCCCCCAAAACCAGCAACACCTGTAGCTTCACAACCAAGATTTTCAGGGAGAACATTTCAGCCCAAATAGGATTATGACTTAGGAAGCAAATATCCTTGGGAGTTTTAGCAAATATCCTGGCAGCTGATAATTCATACTGTTGCATTAAAATGTTTTAGGGGCTGGGAGATACTTCAGAGTTTAGAGTGCGTCCTAGGTTTAATTCTCAGCTGCAGTCATCGGAACCCCTCTCCTCCAGCATTGCAGAGGATGACTTTGGAAATCCCCAACACCCCCTTTGGTCTGTGTATCCCCATCACTCAGGGCCTAAGGAGCTTCACAGCCTTGGATTTTTGCATTGATTTGATAACCTGGTTTGCCAGAATTGCTGGTGGGGCCCCAAACCTCCTGACCTTTGCTTGGGATAGTGTGTTTTACGGATACGAAGTAGAATCAAACAACTGGCATAAAAATTGTATAGTTATATATATATATATATATATATATATATAGGAGGAAAGTATGCAACAGATGATGGATGCATCTCAGAAAACACTTTGATCCCCAACTGGGCACAAGAAGATTGGTAATGAGGATGGTCTATTATCAACCGGCTCCTTAAGTGACATGCTAAATTGATTTTCATAACTCAAATATCTCTGGGTTTATGTTGCTTTTCAGTATTACCCCTTTTTTCAATAGACTTTAAAAAATATTTTCCCCATTTTATTGACAAAGAATTATAATTTTAAATATGTATCTAATGTGTCCACTAGGGAATTCAATTAAAAAAAAGAAAGAAGGAAAATAGAACCTATGAGAATCTTAATGATTTACTCTCCACATAACTTCTTGGTTAATCCCATTGTGTTAGCTACATTCCTATTATACACCTTAGTTTTCTAATACTGATTTATCCTGTCATTGTAAGTGACACACTCCACTAGCTCTTCCTCCCCCAAAATATGATCTCTGTTTCTTTCTAAAGTTATTGTTTGTGGAAAGTTATTGTTTGTGTGTGTATCTGTGTAATCATACAACTGTTGTCTTTCTCTCTTGACTTATCTGATTTAACATAATGCCTTAAAGTTCCATTCATGTTTTCACAAAGTGGTAGGACTTCCTTGTGTTTTATTAATAGTTGAATAATATGTATACAAACATGTATGTCTTGTAACTTATAAGTCATTACCTGTATAGGTTAGATCTGTGTTTTGACTATTGTAAACAATACTTCAATAAATGCAGAAGTAGAGAAATAGCATCTAAGGAGAGTGTTTTTGTTTCCTTTGGATGTATTTCCAGATGTGGACTTGCAGGATCATGTGATAGTTCTATTTTTAATTTTTTTTATAATCCTCCATCCTGGTTTCCATAGTTACTGTACCAGTTCACAATCCCACCAACAATTCACCGGCTGACCTGTCCCCTTCTCATTCTTTTTTTTTTTTTTTTTTTTTTTGCTTTTTGGGTCACACCCGGCAATGCACAGGGGTTACTTCTGGCTCTGCACTCAGGAGTTACTCCTGGCGGTGCTCAGGAGACCATATGGGATGCTGGGAATCGAACCCGGGTCAGCTGCGTGCAAGGCAAACACCCTACCCGTTGTGCTATCGCTCCAACCCCATGTCCTTCTCATTCTTGCTCACATTTTTTAATCACTTGTTTTTGATGGTGGCTATTCTATCGGGTATTAGATGGTGTCTTATTGTGGGTATAATTTGAACTAACTTAATTATTGATAATGCTAGATATCTTTCCATGTACATGGATTTGGGACATGTGGGACATTATTTAAAATGTCTGTCCAGGTCGTTTGCTCATTTTTAAATTGGATTATTTAGCTTTCTGCTTTTGAGTTTGAATGGAAATTACTTTTTCTAGAGCTGACTTGGATAGAGGCTGTTTCAGATAAGGAATAAGAAAGAAAAAGACATCTATGGTTTGGAATTGTGAATGTGCCTACTCTAAAAAAATGGAAGGTTACATTTTTGTAATGTTTTTTAAAATGTTTTATAAAATTACATTTTGTAAATGATGATCAGTACAGTTTGGTCGAACTGTTTTTATGAAGAATATGAAAGGCATACCATGTCTGCCTTAAGAGCAGCCCCTCACAGACACCTCTGCCTGAAGGAAGTAAAGTACCTGGAAAATCTATTACCTGACTCCTTCCTCCCATTTCATTAGAATCTTCCATTTAGCTTCATTTCTCATAGTGCAGTTCCATTTCTAAATAGTGACTTTGTCTAACAACTGTGTGGACAGGAGATAATAAATTATGATTAATTGCAATAAAAATAATTTTCAGGGCCCAGGGCAAGTAAGTAAGGTGCTTGCCTTGCAGGGACAGCAAGTAAGGTGCTTGCCTTGCATATGGCCAACTTGGGTTTGAGCCCCAGAATCCCATGTGGTTCCCCAAGCCTGCAAAAGTGATCCCTGCATGCAGAGCCAAGAGTAAGCCCTTAGCACCACCACTTGTGGTCCCCCAAACTGTAGCACTGTAGCACTGTCCTCCTGTTGTTCATCAATTTGCTTGAGCAGGGCCCAGTAACATCTTCATTGTGAGACTTATTGTTACTGTGTATGGCATATCAAATACATCATGGATAGCTTGCTAGGCATTGCCATGTGGGCAAGAAACTCTCGGTCGCTTGCCGGGCTCTCCGAGAGGGGCGGAGGAATCAAACTTGGGTCGGCAGGGTTGGCCACGTGCAAGGCAAACGCCCTACCTGCTGTGCTATCACTCCAGTCCAAAAACAAAACAAAAACATTTTCCAGGAGTCACAGAGACAGATCAAAGAGCTTATTTTGAGAGTAAGCATGCTTTGAATGTGGGGGCCTGGGTTCAGTCCGACCACCTTCTGGTTTCCTGAAAACTGTGACCCCCAAGTAATGCACTAGGAGGATCAGCTGAAACAATTGGGAATAGTTCCCAATCTTTGTGATTACAATAATAATAATTTTGATTATGCATGATGGAAATCTATAAGCCATATTTCCAATTTTTCAATTGTTTTAAAAATCTTAAATTATTTCAGTAGTTGTGGGCTGGAGCAATAGCACAGCGGTAGGGCATTTGCCTTGCATGCGGAGCGGATGGCCTGGCCGAGCCAGGTTCAATTCCTCCGTCCCTCTCAGAGAGCCTGGAAAGCTACCGAGAGTATCTCGCCCACACGGCAAAACCTAGCAAGCTACCTCTAATGTATTCAATATGCCAAACACAGTAACAACAAGTCTCACAATGGAGATGTTACTGAGCCCACTCGAGCAAATCAATGAACAACGGGAGGACAGTGCTACAAAGCTTTCAGTAGTTGTAAAGTTCACATATTAGCTCTTACTCTTAAAAAGTCAGATTTATAAGGGTCAAGTAGATAGATCAATTGCTGGAATGTATCTTTAGTATGAGAGGGGTTTGGGTTCATTATATATCACAATGGTCCCCTAAAGCACAGTTTGGAGCAATCCAAAGAAGGGACCAAGAGTTGTCCCTGAGCATGGTTGGATGTAACCCCAAACCAAATGAACAAAAATGTCCAAAATAGCTTATTAAATGTTGAGTAATTTTTATTTTCTAGGAGATAACGTTTTGAAGCTCAGGCAAGTCAACAGTCTCAAAATAAAATCAACATAAAAAGAAGAGAAGCAAAACTGAAAATACTATTAAGTGTCTAGTATGTGGAGTGAACTTACTAATCTAGGAAAAGAGAGGAATTGACTCAAGTACTGCAATGTACCTAGCTCTGAAGTACTCAATACCATTATTTCTCAGTCACTATTTTCAGGTTAAATTCTGCTCCACGTGTTTTGTATTTAAGTGCCAACAATTGGAATTTAGACAGAGATGCTATGAGTTTATAATTCTCCAAGATATGAATAGAAGAGAGGCAGAGAATTTTTTTTTAACACAAATGCCTTTACGTTTTCTTTCTGGGTGCATAGAGGGTGATTAATTTTTGTTTCATTCTTGACTTTTAATATTTTTCAGACTCTATGTCTGTGCAAGAGAGAGATTGAAAAACGATGGATGGGATTCATTTCCTATAGCAGCTGTGACAAGTACAATGGGTACAATCAGTAGACCACACTTAATTGTATGTGTAGGTTTGTTATAGATCTCAATCACCCATGTAATATAGAGTCAAATAAAAAAAA